AACTCTGATAAGTTTAAAAGCAAATAATATTCCTCTCTGGATAATGACACTACGTAAATAATATGATAAGTGGTTATTAATAAGATTAAGATAGTCTTTGATATAATTTTAAAATATGAGTATGAACAAATTTATGTTATAAGATTGACGTTTAAAATGAAAGTTATCTTAATTCATATATATTGTATTTTGATTTTATGAATTAATGGTGAAGGTTTTTCCCGTAAGATGTGTAGTTAAGTTGCAAGTGGATGATGTGAAGAATATTAGGGGAGAGCGAAGTAGCAGAAACCTGAATCCCATCAAAGTGGAAAGGCAGGAATAATGGATCACATGGTTTTGATTAGGTCGAATGGTTTAGAAAGTAGGAAAGAGATGGAGCTCTTTGTTTTGCTAGCTCGGTGGGCCCTAGGAGTTGCTGTGTATAGAATCCAACAAGGATGTAGAAGAAAGAAAAAATAGAGAGAAAAAACAAATGTGAAAGCAACATATGGAGAAAATATTTGATAAGGAGTCAAACTTTGTCTGACAGCGCATAAACCTTAGTGGTAGGCTGCTTTCTTTTGCTAATTAATCTCTCACTGCTTTCCAAACACTCACTCTAAAAGGAACAGAATCTTGACCACCACTTCATTTGTACAAACATTTTTCATATCTTTCAAAAATCAGGTGAGTTTAATTTAATTGAAGTATACTCATAAACCATTTTTACATTAAAACATAAATTTTTTCGTTCAACATGATTTTCAATTGGTATTTATATTTATAAATTTTTTCTTCCAAATTCGAAATTGTTTTTCAATGTTGTTATTTATAGCTTATTATGAATACTGTATTGAAGTCAATGTCCAAAACCTATCATTAAAGATTGTTATTTTATATATATATAAAATATTACAAAAATAATGATAAAGGTTCCATGTTAAGTCTCCACACTTTTTTTTTCAACCCCTTTTCTTCTAACTACTAAGTTAACCATTTGGTTATTATATTGTTTTATATGATATTAAATTAACTATATATTATTGGATTTGTAAAATTTTTATCCAATCATTATTTATTTTTAAAAATGATTAAGATTTAAATGCATTTGAATTACCTTATTTATGATTACAAATACTTTATTTTTTGCTCGTGATGCGTATAAATTCAATTAGTTTAATTACTTTTATAGTAATTATCATAAAAATAATTATTTTCAATAATATGGTAAGTGATAACACAAGATTACATATAAAAGTATATAAAAAAATCTTTAGATTATTAATGGGATACGATCAATTGATACCTGCATCAATTAATAATTTTACATAAAACAAAACATTAATCAATTTAACAATCGAATCTTTTATATTATATACCTTTATCATCATCCATAACAAATTTCATGAAATTTAGACATTGATTCATAGTGTGTTATATAGTAACAAGTACATATATAGTACAAGAAAAATAATTTGTAGAGAAGTAATATCTTTTATTATTTTAATAACTAAAAGTTAAAAGTAATAAAAATAATTATATCTATAGCATTGAATAATATTTTTTTTATCAACAAAACTACTAAAACAATTCTAAATGATAATAATAATAATAATAATAATAATAATAATAATAATAATAATAATAATAATAATAATAATAATAATAACACTCTAAAACTTGTAACAAAATAATTAAGATGACACCACTCTAGAATCTATTTCAACATCTTAATCAACAAAAGTACACATCTAATATCTTAAACATTTACTTATATTTCAAGTAACATAAAATTTATTAAAATAAAATAGTATCGTGAAGCGTCAACAAGATCAGGCTGCATTCATACACATCAATGAATATTATTTACCTTTATTTATTTATTTAACACATTTTGTCCTCAAATTTAAAAGTATTATTTATTTAATATATTTCTATTCTAATAAAATAAAATAATCAATATTAATAATCAATAATTATTTTTAATAAATTTTTTAATAAATTTTTGCCTAATTTAAATATTGATTTTAAAAAATCTAAAATTTAAATTTTCTGTAAAATGTATGAAAAAATTATTAGTTTTGTTTAACATAGTGATAGGAATATAATAGCCAGGCCCATAATGTTACCATATTGGGCTAAAGACTACTTAATGGATTAGTGAATATGATGTTGAATTGGGCCTTATTGTAATTGTTTTCCTCCAAGGTCTTTAGACCATTGTAAGGGTATATAACCCTGGGTCACCGCCGAATGAAAGGAAGGAAAATTTCTGAATTTAGATTTTATTAGATTTGTTCTTGTAGACCTAAATTCTCTGTAGTCTCTATCACATTGTTGCTTTCATTGCTATGGCTCCTAAGCCTAATCGGGATGCAGACCTCAACTGTGATGAGGCCATTGCCAACCTCACTTCTCAAATTGCTGATTTACAGGTACAATTGTCCCAACAAACTCAAATTCACGATGAACGTCATGCTGCTTTAACCACTCTTCTGTCCGGGCTCATGGACACCTTCACCCAACAACTGAACACGCCACCCGTAGTTAGTTCCACATCCCTCCCATCATCCCCACCTCTCGCCGTGCCTAGTACCCTTGGCCTAACCGCTCCATTGATTTCCAATCCACCGCCATACAATTCCTTCCCAACATTCTCTACCACTACATCTTCTACCTCACACCTACATAACCCATACGTTCCACCTTTTCCTCACAATAATTTTTTTGTCAATCCCAACCCTAATCCTATCCCATCCACCACTCCCATGGCCAATACTATTTCTTTCCCTTCCACCATCCGCCCTCCCAAGTTACAGCTCTCCTTATTTGATGGTTCTGAACCTTTGGATTGGATTTTCCAAGCTGAACAGTTCTTTTTGTTTTATCAAGTGCCTTGGGAACAACGGGTTCCTATGGTGCCCTTCTATATGAAGGGCGAAGCCTTGAGTTGGTTCAAATGGCTGTATTCTTTGAATCAATTGGGGGATTGGCCATGTTTTAGCCGAGCACTAGAATTACGATTTGGGCCATCTACGTATGAAAATCATCAAGGTACATTATTCAAACTCCAACAATCTGGATCTGTGGGTGAATATCAGGCCTGTTTTGAAAAATTGTGTAACAAAATTGTTGGCTTATCCCATGAAAATTTGTTGAATTGTTTCTTGTCGGGCTTAAGCCCACCCATTGAGCGTGAGCTCAAAATTCTCAAACCTTGCAACCTGACACAGGCTATTGGCATGGCTAAACTGGTGGAGGAAAAATTATCCGACGCTACGCCTAAATTCTCTCGCCCAACCCTCCCCACATCCACGACCTCCCATAACACCCAAGCTCCCAACTGTACCAAATTGCCCTCGCCACCAGATCTTACCCAATCTACCTCCACAAATTCACCAAAAATTCCCATAAAAACCTTATCCACGCAACAAATGCAAGAACGTCGAGCCTTGGGTCTTTGTTATAACTGTGATGAAAAGTTTATGCCCGGCCATCGATGTAACACTCCCAAATTCTTACTTTAATTGTGTGACGAGGAAACCGACACCTGCCCGTTCTTTATTGACACTCCACCAGCCGATTACAGATTCGATCCGCAACTTTCAGCCACGCACCACTCAAGCAATGACATGTAGCAACCTTGAGGGCAAGGTGCTGACTCAACCGGGGGGCATTGATAGGAATATAATAGCCAGGCCCATAATGTTACCATATTGGGCTAAAGACTACTTAATGGATTAGTGAATATGATGTTGAATTGGGCCTTATTGTAATTGTTTTCCTCCAAGGTCTTTAGACCATTGTAAGGGTATATAACCCTGGGTCACCGCCGAATGAAAGGAAGGAAAATTTCTGAATTTAGATTTTATTAGATTTGTTCTTGTAGACCTAAATTCTCTGTAGTCTCTATCACATTGTTAATTAACATTCTTTCGTATTAATGTCAAGACTTCCTTATATAGTCAATGTTTACTTGGTAATAGTTAGATTGATAAAATTGAATATTTATGTTTAAAATATTGAAAAGTAGATTTCTCAACTCCTGCTAAAAATGTGATGCAGTGGTATAAGTTAAAAATAAACGAAAAAGTTGGAGGGACGGAAATTAGAAAGAAAAAAGACATAGTTTTGAATAATCATTTTCATTTGATTGTGTTGTGAAATTTGAAGAAGAGAGAAGGACTATTTAAGTGAGCCTGCTTATGAGTCCATTTCTTCTTACTTCTGATAAAAATGACAACTGAGTAACAGTTTATTATTTTTCGTCATTCACATGGTTACTCTTATCCTTGATATTCATTCTTACGATTGTTTTTCGAATGAAAATTTTAGAAATTTGAAATTTTTAGAATTTATTTTTTTTATTTTTATTTTTATTATTTATTAAATATTTTATTTAGATAAATTATTTTAAATTTTTAATTTGGATAAGAAAATTTAATTTATACCAAAAGGAAAAGCTGATTTAAATATATAAATATGTATTTTTTAACTTTAAAAGATAAGAGAGGGAAGTAGGAGAGAAGAGATATAGAAGAAAAAGTAGAGGAGACAAGGGATAAAAGATTGAGAGAAGAGATATCAAAAAATAATTTATTATAATTTATAATTTTTTATTAAATATTTTTTGTTTTAGTTAAAATATTTTAAATTAAATTTAAAATTTTTTAAAATTAAACTAAGTTTTTTAGCACCGGTTTTGAATTAATTGGTATAGTTTGATTTTCAAAATATATAGTAAAATAAAAAATAGAGATATAAAAAGTATATAGGTGAAATAAGAGAAAAAAATAAAATTAAAAATTTAAATTCTTACTATTTTAGAGAATTTAAAATTTTATTATTTTAAATTTTTTTACAAATACTTAAATATTCCACTCTTTATAAATTCACCATGTAAATAAAATATTTATAAAAAAATAATTACTTCCTTAAAAACTCTCATCCAAACCCAGTATTAAAAAAAAAAAATTGTACTTCAGTCATCTTATTTTATACTATACTAGTAGGGGAATGAGATAGCTATGTGAAACATTATTTTTCAATTGAAAGTTATTGGGTAATTACATTTTCATTGATTTAATTTTTATGTACATAATTTGTGTACGGGTTGGCACCCCCGTTGACTCGGTCAAAGGCCGAATACGACAAGAGCCGAACACCATTTCGGCCATTGACCAAGCCGGGTACCCCTTCGGCCAGGAACCAAACCGGATACCCTTTCGGCCAGGAATCAAACCAAGTACCCCCCCTAGGCCCAATCACAAGCAGTCACCACAAAAGACGAACACCATCTCGGCCATGGACCAAGCCGGGTACCCCTTCGGCCAGGAACCAAACCCAAAACTCCCTGCGGCCATAGATCGAACCGAACACCCCCTCGGTCCCAGACTAGGCCGAGTACCTTTTCGGCCTCAGGCCAGGTCGAATACCCCGTCGGCTTCAGACTTGACCGAAGGACTTAACATAAGGGGAATTCACTGAAAACACGTGGCAATCTAAACACCTGTTATACAACAAGCATCAACCTTGATTAAGGGGAGCTTAAGGTCAATTAAAATATTACCCATCTCCCAAGACAGAAGGCCCACCAGCCCCAAACATGTCACTATAAATACACAGGTGATGGGACATAAATGAGGTATGATTTATTCCATATAAAAGCACTTATTACTCTATATCAAATACTTACTTGATCGTCGGAGTGCCTTTGCAGGTACCCTCCCCACCCCTCAGAAACAGCATCCGGTTGGAACCGAAGACCCAGAGGATCAAGAACTTAGAAGATTAAGAAGACATAAGAGACCAAGAAAAAAGGACGGCAAGAGAAGTGTTTCTACGCAGGAACAATTTGTCTCCATTGTATTCTTTATCTAATACACCCGCACGTGAATGAGAATTGTAATATAATTATAAGACAAAAACGTTTTAGAAAAAGTAAAAATCAGAGATATATAGATAAATAGATATGTTTGAAACTTTATTTGTTTATTTGAAATGTTATATTTTCATGGCCATGAATTATAAAACACAGTGAGAATTGAATTGATGATGATTTAGTTCTAAAATAACGAGTACAATATAATTTAGATAGAAAAACATATTAAATATGTTGTTATAGTTATCGACAAAAAAGTAATGATCAAGATCTTATTAAAGTACATACATTTTCTAATAAATTACGAAGTTGTTATAATTTTAAGTGTTAATTTTTAATCAATAATTATTCTTTAATTTTTTTAAGTGCAGTCTGTTGAATTGTGAACTAGACAATAACTATAGTAGTATCTTCCCTACAAAATTTTAAATTCATATATAATTGTAAATTCCATTTTATTTCGTTAATATTTAGATATTTTGTTAAATGAATATTTTAATTTTCTAAATTACTATAGACTTTAATTATTTAAATATTTTTTGTTAGTATGCATCAGTTATTTGTTTACTAAATACCTTATTATTATTTATTACTGTTGGCAGGGACATAATAGCTTATTATGAAAAGTTGTTTATCTTTTTTTTTTTTTTTAATCTAATCAGATAAGGAAAATGGTTATTTTTTCTTTTCACTCTTATATTTTCCTTGTACTAAAATGCTACAGTAAACTAATAATTTTCTCACTATTTTCCGTCTATATTTTGTCTTTCTATCTTTTATTCACTATTCTTTCTCGAGCCCAACAAAACAAAAATGATAATAATTTAAATAAAAAAAAAGGTCATTGAAAATGACGTGGTTTGTGGATTCCGAATTCTCGATATTCATTGGAGTTAATAAACTTTTATCACTTAAATATTTATATCATAAATTCAACTATAAAACTTATTGAAACAAATTGAGATTATTATCCCTAAAATCATAAATTTAAATAAACTTATTCAAATGATTATTTGGTGACAGGTTTTCTAACTTTATGCCCTATCTCAGCCCGTTTGTATGGGCCGGATTTGTTTGGTAAAACACTATCGGGCCATGTGTTGCTGGATCGATTCAGACTAGATTTAGATGGTTGGGTTGGCCGAGTCAAAGGCGTTGGTTCTGGGTTTAGGCCATTGGTTGATGGGCTTTGGCCCATTTAGCCTCGTATCGCGGGGTTTGAATTGAAATGTATTGCAGACTTCTAGTGCTGCGTTAAATTATTTTGAACAAAGATGGAGAATATATATAAGATAATTCATTTATTTAATTTATCTCCGGTTACTGTAAAATAGTTTTATAATGTTAAGTAATTATAAATTATTATTATTTTTAATTGAATAATACATGATACATAATAATTGTAAAGATTAATAGATGCATGATAATTTATAATAATTTATATTATTAATCCATAATCTGTTTTCTCTTAATTATATAAATAATTAAAAGTATGACAAATAATTTGGGAGCATTAATTTTATGATATGATATAATATTATCAGCAATTATATTTTAGAAATATAATAATAAAAATACATTGTTGGTGGGACAGATTTTATTACCTCTCTCTCTCTTAACTTTTTGAACAAATTTTATAATAAAATATATTTATTATATTAAATATATGATTATACGGAAAGATTGATTAAAAATTGAGAGGGGAGGACAAGCAAAGTAGCAAACCCTCTCTCCCTTAACTCTTTGAACAAAATTTATAATAAAATATAATTATTATGTTAAATATATGATTATACCGAAAGATAGATAAAAATAAAATAAAATAATATATATATATATATATATATATATATTATTGATGATTTTAAAATTTAAGAAAATAACATTTATAAGCTAGATAGATATATAATATGAATATTTTTTTTGATGTCGGTATAATATGAATAATTTAATGATTATGATTTAATATTTATCATTAAAAATAATTTGGCATCTTTTGATAGAGTTTTGGATTCTTCCTTGATTGTTAGGTATTTTTTAAAATATACTTTTTCTTTATATTAATAACTAAAATTTGTTGAGGATCAATTTCATATTTCCATAAATATATAAGGCAGTGGGACAGTGAGTACAAGGACTTCACTAAAATAAAATTCTGATTAAACATAAAAATTAATTTTCTTAAAAATAAAATATATCAATTTATCGCAAATATATTTTTCAGAAACTTCTAATAAATATATGCATAGATATTCCACTTTATTATTATTTATATTAATATATACAGAAGATATTTCTTTTAGTAATCATTTTAGTCTTCATATTTTATTGACCATTATATCCTTTTATTTTTAAAAAGTAGAAAAAATAATTTTTTTTATCAAAATCAAGACATTAAAATTAATATACTAATCATAATACTAGATCAACATATATTTATTTCTTAATTTTTATTTTTATTTTATCTTTAATAAAGGCACGAAATGACTCGACTCGACTAGTTTATGTTTATATATAAAGTCAATTCCTTATTTTGAAATATATATTATTTATAACAAATTTAACCCTTTTATAAATATTAGATAAATTGTAAGATAGAAGAAAAAAAATCTTTTTGCAAAAGAAGTTTTATTTTTGAAACTGTTAATAACAACATAATATTCCACTAACATGTGTATTTAAAAGAAGCTATCACGACTCAAAAATAATTACCACAAAAACACGAAGTACCTTATTTTCAACTAGTTGAAAATAATATAACTTAAAAACAAACTCTTCTAAAATAAAGTAATTTGCTAACCAATTAAATTATATATGACAACCCTAAACTTAATTAATTACCGATACCAGTTTTTAAGCATTCATCACATAGAACATGCAAATATAAAAATATCAAATTGGTTTGAAAAATAAATAATTTTAAGAAGAAATAGAATGATGCTAAAAATTCATCCAACAAAAATGATTTAACTCTAAACTTTCAAAGTTTTCACCACCTTCATTATTTTCAAATTCTCTTTTAAAATGATTTAAACTTATATTTAAACATACCTTTATAATGGTGAGTAAAGATCCTCTGACTTCCTTTCTTTTTCACTCACTACACTTTCTTCTTCACTCACGACTCCTTCAGCTTTTTTTTTTTTTCCTTCTTTTTTTCTACCTATCTCCTTTCACTTTTTTTTTTTTCACCTTCACTCACGCACTCACTAACTCACTCACTCACTTCCCAAATTTATAGCCACTCACACTACTACACCAAGAAGACAATAGACCTTCACGAAAGCTTGCTTGCGAGCCTGCTGGAGGAGATACGACCATCACGCGCTCTATCACGAGGCCAGAGGATCACGAGTCAAATAAAGGAAAATGTCAGCTACAGTGATGCTTTTGGAGGCTTAGAAAATGTCACTAGCCTCAACCTTTTGAGGCTTGGAAGAGGTTTCAAAGACGTTTTGGAAACGTCACCACCCTCGACGTTTTGGACTTGGAAAAGGTTTTAAAATGTTTCGAAAATGTCGACGTGGACGACATTTTGCGTGTGTTCGCGAAAGTTTCAGAAACGTCAATGTGGATGACGTTTTTAAGTGCTGGCATTTTCTGCTCCATGCACAACATGCAGGCTCATCGGCCATAGGCTATGCATGCTCATCAGATGCATGCAGGCTATGCAACCTCATTGCTGACATGCATTTAATTGCTTTGGTACACATATTCTCTTTCCGTTTTTATTGCTTTTGATACTTTATGCATCTAGTATAATTACGAGAGTAAGATTCTGTCACACTCAATGTTTGAAATTCATGATGAGGTGGATACTAAAAGAGTAAAAGTTTAAGATTTGTTACATTTCAAGAGTCCATAGTTGACGACACATGGTTAAAGTGAACTCATGAGTACGTGGTGTCAATGTTATTTACGACTTATGTTGTACACTATACTCGTCACTATTCTTCACGTTTTCTTCTTATCTATCTCTTTCTTATCTGTTAAAAATAATTTATTTTGGTAAATATTTTTTTTTTATTTATTTCAATAATTTTTATTTATTTATTATGGCCAAAAAGTCAAAAATTATTTAGAATGTTATTAATTTTGCGGTATTTATTTTCTAACTCAACATGTTTTTAGCATTTTTTAAGAAAAATCTATAACATTATATGATAACTATCATCCTTGAAATAAATTTTTGTATACAATATTAATAGTAATTTAATTAATTTATAATTGTTTACGGTGGAATTAACCATCAAATCCTGGGTTCTTTTTATTTAGACTAGCATACGAACGTATTTCAATTTAGGCGCTTTACTGTGTTATCGTGTTACCGCGAATGGAGAGTAGGATGAAAAAGTCTTAGCAACTACTTGTCTCAAAATGTTCTTCGATTAAAACAAACAAGCAATGTTCCCGCATGCAAATAACAACATGAATAGAATGAACAATGTATACATTCGCAATACAAATCATGTTCAAATTACATAATGTTCAAGCATTACAAGATTAAAGTCTATAACTACGTAATTAAAAGGAGAGAAGAGAAAAGAAAGACTACACTAATCCTACTCCTAAAAAGAGAAAAGACAAGTGGCCGAGAAGTAATCATACCCAAAGATGATTCCTCGCATGGAAGCCATATGTGCAGGCAGAGAATGCTTCAGAATTTGGTTAGAGTATGAGTTTTCCGACCTTTGTAAAGGT